TCCTTAGCCAATGCAGATTCGTGATTTATCACTGAATATCACTTTCATCCACACTGCGTGATTGCTGCTTTTTAGCCCACTGTAACCTTGTTTTCTTCTGTTTAGGCGTTAGTGCTGGTTTTCGTTTGGCTTTTCTATACGTAAATCCTATTTCATTCAGACATATACAGTTCTGTTACACACACTGACTCCTGTTTTCGCCCGTTTGTTTTTCATTTGTTTTGTCGTGCATTTTCTATTTTCAAGGCATATTGCTTTGAGTTTTCTATCCTGACGCTATGATGTCTTCCTTGCCCGACCCATATGTTTTCTTCTTCTAACCTTCCCATTTTGTTTATACTTGCACCAAATTTTAGACACAGCTGACTGGGAACAACGGATATATATCTAGCTATCTATATATATATATATATATATATATATATATTTTTTTTTACCATACTCCGTGTTGGATCTCCTTCTTGAAGGAGTTTTATAATCCTTTCCATTGCTTCACTGGACATCTCTCTTGTTGGAGCCATGATTCCTTTCAAAAGGTCCACGGTGAAGGTCTGTAAGCACTCTTTTAAGGTCTGTAAGCACTCTCTTTCAATGGAAGACTAATTTGCATTTTCAGTACTGATATTTGTTTTAGAAATACAAATTACAAGGTGATTCCATCATTTTATCCTCAACATTGAGTGATTCCATATTTTTTTCCTCTACTTCATCTGGAAAAAAAAATGTCATTAATTTAAAAGGTTGTTCAGCAAATGTTCAGCTATTAAACAAAATTTTTTTGTGTCATATCTGTGATTTGTTTATTTGCTATGACATGAAAAGGTGAACATCATCTAAGTTTAGTGATTCTATCATTTTTGCAACAACAACACTAGTCAACAACACTATAGCAGTGTGTATTCTATAATACTGAATGCAGATCTATAAACAGTTAGGCAGTAAATCTCTCAGCAGCAGAGATTGCCATCATACTCAAACTGCACTAATTTAATGTACCGTGACCTCAGATACAGTGAATGGAGAAAAGGTTAGGAAGCTCATCATGTGCGAAAGATCAAGCTTTTAGCATGCACGCAGAAAAAGCTATTAAGTGATGAGCAAATGGAACACATTTAGGGCCGGAGAGCTTTGTTCCCTGTGTCAGAGGATTGAGGCAAGTGATCAAATGAACATAATTTGTTTTAATTGGCTGGCATGAGGCTTACAAAGAGGGTAAGAGAGAGCCCGGGAACTTAGTGGCTTCTTGTGCTGTTCAAATAAGTGGCTGATGAACGTGAGATTGTCACTTAGATGTCATAATGGAATACTGACTCCATTAGTCTGTAGATACTGAGAGCCGAAGTCTTACAAAGTGGGATTTTCATCCTCAATTTATCCAACTTGCTCGTAAAGTGACCAGTGTAAGTGTGTATAGTTAGGGGTTAGCTAGAGGTGAACCATAAGGGGTGTTGTTAATGTGTTCCATTCTATATGAATCACCAAGGTAAGAGATATACTATATATGTTTTAAATTTAGGTTATTTTTTTCTGCACACATGTTTTGAGCTGATGAGTAAGAAAGACTTAAATGAGTAAATGGCTCAAATTTCCCTGTGTGAATGCCTTTTAAGTTAACTGACTCATGTAATGTTTATTGAGTAATGTAGTCATCAGCTTTCAAGACAATTAGCAAGAACTTACTAAACTGTGGGCATTTGCAAGTGCTAAAACAGCAGGGTTTATATTCAGTGGATCTTTGATCTGTAAATAATTTTATTCCTGTCAATGTGATTAAGATTTGCAATTATGTAAATGGAAAAGAAACTTCCAGCCAAAGAAAACATCTGGTAAATTGCTTTTACTATTCTAGTATAACTGTAATAAGTCAACAATTTAAGTATTTTAGGGAATGGTTATTATTTTGTTAGTCATCCAAACATTCATTCATTCACCTTCAGCAACCATTTTAACCTGGGCAGGGTTGTGGTGGTAGCAGAACTGGGTATACACCCTGGCTAGGACACCATTCACATACATTCACATCTTGTTGCAATTTAGCCTACCCAATCCACAAACCTGAATTGTGGTTTTTTTTTGGAGGAAGAGGAAAGAAACTGGAGAACCCAGAGGAAACCCATGTGGACATATAGAGAACATACTCTCCAAACAGAGAGTAACCCAAGGTCAGGATTAAACAGTAAAGCCTGCAGCTGTGAGATGGCAATACTAGCCATCTCTACTGTGTCACTATGTAAGTGCTAAAGGAAATCTAAACCAAAGCTCAGTGACAATGACCATACAGGTTTCCTACCATTCAACATGCAACTAGTTTAGGTTAAAAGTAAAAGATCTGGGCTGCACAGACACGTTTAAAGAGGAAGTCGATCAAGTCAAAACGGGCCACGTGGATCAAGATGTTAAAACATAATAGACTTGCAGAAATATAGCAACTGATATTCAAGCAGGACATACTGTCCCAAGCAACCCTAGGATGTGACTTGTGAGTGCACACCAAATCCTCAAATCAATGACATGAGTGATTCTGGAAATATAAATATATAAGGTGGAGAATTCTTAGGACACGGGCTGATAGCCGAGCCCACCACTAAATTCTGTGGGTAGGAGTTGTTGAAAAGTAGGCAGGAGATTGGGCAGGAGTTGTTGAAGAGTAGGGAGGAGATTGGGTAGGAGTTGTTGAAGAGTAGGGAGGAGATTGGGTAGGAGTTGTTGAAGAGTAGGGAGGAGATTGGGTAGGAGTTGTTGAAGAGTAGGGAGGAGATTGGGTAGGAGTTGTTGAAGAGTAGGGAGGAGATTGGGTAGGAGTTGTTGAAGAGTAGGGAGGAGATTGGGTAGGAGTTGTTGAAGAGTAGGGAGGAGATTGGGTAGGAGTTGTTGAAGAGTAGGGAGGAGATTGGGTAGGAGTTGTTGAAGAGTAGGGAGGGGGTTGGATGCTGAAACTTCCTCACTAGTAGAAAACACGAGAGATAGGAATTTACAGGAAGTTATATTGGGAGCTTCAGACATGGCCTTTCTCCATTTCATAACTCAATTTAGATTGGAATTTACCTAATTATATTACTTTGATTATTTCGAAATTACTCAGTTAAAGAATTCTCTCTGTTAGAACACAGGATCTGGACTGTGCCATATTCACACAATAAAACCCTGCTGTTCATAGAGCTGTCATTAATCAACTGGGCAAAAAGGGGATTGTGCTAAACTTGGACAATCCTAACAATTCATCTGTTCAGTTATTACACCTGTACCTGTACTGTATCATAATTGATGGAGCTTGTAATACAAATGACTGATACATGTGTGGCTCTTTTGAATCCAGCTTATAAGGAATGCACTGTCTCTAGCGGTCTCAGACAGTTCTAATTCAAATGATCTGAAGGAACAAGAAAAAATCTGTACCTTGAATAATTAAAACAAATATTTTAATAACACATGAAATTAACATACCACAAATGATGCCAGTAGTATTTTGAATATACTACTTAGTATGGTGGGGTGCACAGTGGCTTAGTGGTTTGCCTATGGGGTTGGGGGTTCAATTTCCACCTCTGCCCTGTGTGTGTGTGTGGAGTTTGCATATTCTCCACGTGCTTTCTGGTTACTCTAGTTTACTCCCCCAGTCCAAAGACATGTGTCGTAGCCTGATTGTGATTGTACCTGAAATGGGTTTTTACCCAATCCAGGGTGTCCCCCACCTTGTGCCCTGAGCTCCCTGGGATAGGCTCCAGGCTCCCCGTGACCCTGTGTAGGATAAGCGGTATGGAAAATAGATGGATGGAAAAATGGATAGATTGAGACACAGTCTCAATAGATATATACAGTGCCCTCCACTAATATTGGCACCCTTGATAAATATGAGAAAAGAAGGCTGTGAAAAGTTGTCATTATTGTTTAACCTTTAGATCTTTTGTTAAAAAATTCACAAAAACAATCATCAAACAATTGCAAACAAAACAGGTTAATCAAAAATAATCTCTGTTAAAAATAGGTGTGCAACAATTATTGACACCTCTATAAATTTATATGAGAAAAATATATTTGAAGTATATTCCCATTGATATTTTACATTTTTGTTAGTACACCTGGGTGACTAGGAACAGGAAATTGTTCAACCATGATAAATATGAGGTAACACATAGGCCAAATTCCCTTAGTCATTCATAACAATAGGTTAGACCAAGGAATATAGCTGTGATGTGCAGCAACAGGTTGAAGAGCTTCACAAAATGGGAAGTGTCTATAAGAAAATAGCAGAAGCATTCAAAATGCCCATTTCCTCCATCAGGGCAATAATTAAGAAGTTCCAGTCAACTGGAAATGTTATGAATCAACCTGGAAGAGGACGTGTGTCTATATCGTCGCAACGCACTGTAAAGATGATCTTTCGAATGGCCAAATAATCTCCAAGGATCACAGCTGGAGAATTGCAGAAGTTAGTTGCGTCTTGTGGTCAGAAAATCTCCAAAACTACAATCCGAAGTCACCTACACCACCACAAGTTGTTTGGAAGGGTTTCAAGAAAAAAGCGTCTACTCTCATCCAAAAACAAACTCAAGCGTCTTCAGTTTGCCGACACTACTGGATCTTCAAATGGGATCGGGTTCTATGGTCAGATGAATCCAAAATAGAGCTTTTTGGTAATAAACACCAGAGGTGGTTTTGGTACACAGAGAGGTAGCCTTATGGAAAAGTACCTCATGCCCACGGATAAATATGGTGGTGGCTCTTTAATGTTTGGATCTGTTTTTCTGCTAGAGGACTGGGACATTTTGTTAGGATACATGGCATCATGGACTCTATCAAATATCAACAGATATAAAATGAAAACCTGACTGTCTCTGTCAGAAAGCTGAAACTGGGCCATGGTTGGATCTTTCAGCAGGATAATGATCCAAAACATATATCAAAATCGGCCATCACTTTATATAATTTACAATTGAGAGGGAAGACAGCTGAGCAGTTGAGGGTTACACGTCTTGCTCAAGCACCCAACAGTGGTAGTTTGGTGGTTTTGGGATTTGAACTCATGACCTTCTGATCAGTAGCCCAATGCTTTAACCACTCACTGAGCTACCACTGGCTTTGTTCCATTTTTATTTCTTCTTGAATATTACACTAATTCCCTGTAAGCTCTAATTACTTTTGATGTTAAAAATAGTGTATATCACAGCATGTTCTTAAACCAAGTTTAACCAATTGAGATCTGGCACAGGTGAGAAGTTTCCTGACTGGTGTAGATGACTTTGTGTTAAAAAAAAAAAAAAAAAAACCCAACTCTCACAGGACACCAGATATAGAGGCAACAGCGTTTCACTGTGCTGTTATGCCCGCAGCTGCCAAGGGGAGCAAATCTGTGTGACATTGGGCACTGGAGGAATGGAAACAGTGTGTGTGACTCAGAGTAGAGATGTGCAGCCAGATGACAAGGCCACATCTTGGGGCTGGGGAATTTAATATCTAAGGTAGAGTTTTGAATTCTTAGATAGTGGCTAACAGTAACCTTCAGAGATTGGGTAAGGAAGATCGATGCAGACATGTATGAGACTTGTTAAGAGAAATGCTTTGATAAATGACCAACTAGCAGGTAAATTCACTAAGCTTTATTTTGTGTCAGGTCAACACAGTTGTGGGCACGTTGGCTTACTGGTTAGCACGTTACACCTCTGGAGTCAGAGGTTCTGATGCCCGCCTCCGCATGTCTGAGCGGAGTTTGCATGTTCTCCTCGTGCTTCAGGGGTTTCCTTTGGGTACTCTGGTGTCCTTCCTCAGTCCAATGACATGTGTTGTAGGTCGATTGGCATCTCTAAATTGTCTGTAGGGTGTGAGTGTGTGTGTTTCTACACCGTGATGGCTTGGAACCCCGTCCAGGGTGTCCCCCGCCTTGTCCCCCGCCTTGTGCCCTGGGTTCCCTGGGATGAAGGTCAACCCAGACAGCAAATTTCATTTCCCAAGACACATCGCTGCCTACAAACATGGCTGCCACAGACTACACTTCCCAGAACTCACGCACCTTGAAATGTTTGCAGTCACTTGTCATCTGATTAAGCACACCTGTTCACAATCACACACACACGCACACACGCACACACGCACACACACACACACACACACACACACACTCTTTAAAAAGAGACATTCACTCACCAGAACCTCTTAAAGTATATGCTCAGTTTGTCTAGTGCACCTGACGTTAATAAGCCTGTTTTGTCTGTTACTGCTGATCTGCTATGATCTTGAATTGTTTCCTGATTTTTGTGCTCAGTTTTTGCCCATTTTTTAAGCCTGTTTTTGACCCAGTCTCTTGATTTGGACTTACCTGCACTTCTCCTATTAAAGATAAGTCAACTGCAACTGCATCCATCTCAGTGCACATTTGGCTTACATACAGTTTCAAATATGACTTAAACCATTCAGGAGAGCATACAAAAGAAAATAATAAAAATGCTAGACTTAAAAAAATGAATAAATAAATTCCCCATGTTCAATGTTGACAATGTTGGCAACATCAATAATTACATGGAAAAGTATCAAAGTGCTACTACGTAGGTGTTTAAGATCATTTTTGAGCAGCCTACTTAGATTGTAAAAATTACCTGCATGTAGTCTCTGAGTTTTTTTTATTATTATGTTAAATAGGATATGAGTCTAAACTAGATTATGTGGACTGAAGGAGGACATACAGTATCTCACAAAAGTGAGTACACCCCTCACATTTTTGTAAATATTTGATGATATCTTTTCATGTGACAACACTGAATAAATGTCACTTTGCTACAATGTAAAGTAGTGAGTGTACAGCTTGTGTAACAGTGTAAATTTACTGTCCCCTCAAAATAACTCAACATACAGACATTAATGTCTAAACCACTGGCAACAAACGTGAGTACACCCCTAAGTGAAAATGTCCAAATTGGGCCCAATTAGCCATTTTCCCTCCCGGTGTCATGTGACTTGTTAGTGTTACAAGGTCTCAGGTGTGAATGGGGAGCAGGTGTGTTAAATTTGGCGTCATCACTCTCACACTCCCTCATACTGGTCACTGGAAGTTCAACATGGCACCTCAAGGCAAAGAACTCTCTGAGGATCTGAAAAAAGAATTGTTGCTCTACATAAAGATGGCCTAGGTTATAAGAAGATTGCCAAGACCCTGACACTGAGCTGCAGCACGGTGGCCAAGACCATACAGCGGTTTAACAGGACAGGTTCCACTCAGAACAGGCCTCGCCATGGTCCACCAAAGAAGTTGAGTGCACGTGCTCAGCGTCATATCCAGAGGTTGTGTTTGGGAAATAGACGTATGAGTGCTGCCAGCATTGCTGCAGAGGTTGAAGGGGTGGGGGGTCAGCCTGTCAGTGCTCAGACCATACGCCACACACTGCATCAGATTGGTTTGCATGGCTGTCGTCCCAGAAGGAAGCCTCTTCTAAAGATGATGCACAAGAAAGCCCACAAACAGTTTGCTGAAGACGAGCAGACTAAGGACATGAATTACTTGAACCATGTCCTGTGGTCTGATGAGACCAAGATAAACTTATTTGGTTCAGATGGTGTCAAGTGTGTGTGGTGGCAACCAGGTGAGGATTACTAAGACAAGTGTGTCTTGTCTACAGTCAAGCATGGTGGTGGGAGTCACATGGTCTGGGGCTGCATGAGTGCTGTCGGCACTGGGGAGCTACAGTTCATTGAGGGAACCATGAATGCAAACATGTACTGTGACATACTGAAGCAGAGCATGATCAGTATGCAGTATTCCAGCATGATAACGACCCCAAACACACCTCCAAGATGACCACTGCCTTGCTAAAGAAGCTGAGGGTGAAGGTGATGGACTAAACCCTATTGAGCATCTGTGGAGCATCCTCCAACGGAACGTGGAGGAGCTCAAGGTCTCTAACATCCACCAGCTCGGTGATGTCATCATGGAGGAGTGGAAGAGGACTCCAGTGGCAACCTGTGAAGCTCTGGTGAACTCCATGCCCAAGAGGGTTACGGCAGTGGTGGAAAATAATGGTGGCCACACAAAATATTGACACTTTGGGCGCAATTTGGACATTTTCACTTAGGGGTGTACTCACTTTTGTTGCCAATGGTTTAGACATTAATGTCTGTGTGTTGAGTTATTTTGAGGGGACAGTAAATTTACACTGTTACACAAGCTGTACACTCACTACTTTACATTGTAGCAAAGTGTCGTTGTCATGTTGTCAGTGTTGTCACATTAAAAGAGATTATCAAATATTTACAAAAATCTAAGGGGTGTACTCACTTTTGTGAGATACTGTAGATCTTTTTTTCCCTCTTTGCTGTGAAATTGAGAGACAATTAAAACATTTTCAGAAAGCCATATAGTAGTGATAGATTGTCATATATCAAGGAGGTAACTCTGGACTTCAGTTCCCATCAGCCACTGCACTGTACGACAATATGTCACATGACCACCTGCACCTGAATCACGTTTCTGTTAACGAGCACACCTATATATAGCAATTGTTAGCACTGCTTCTCTGTCTTATGTTTGTCTTAGACTACTGTTTTCCATGTTACCGTGTTTTGGTCTTCCATGTTACCGTGTTTTGCATCAGTCTAAGTATCCTTTGTGTTTTGGTTGGTTTATATAATAAAACATTGAAAATCTGCGATTGCTTCCAAACCATGTTTGAAACGTGACAGAACGTAAGACTTACAACGGAAGCAGCAGATCTCCATGAAGTACTTGGGCTTCGATCTGCAACCCATGTTCACCGAAAAATATGCCGCGCTACTAAAACAGGAGGAGGAGTGCCAAGCTGCACCGCATAAGCAGCAGATCGGCATGAAGTACCTGGGCTTCGATCTGCCGCCTATGTTCACGGAGAACTATGCCACGCCACGACAATAGGAGGAGGAGTGCCAAGCTGTGCTGCGTAAGCAGCAGATCACCATGAAGTACGTGATCTTCACTCTACCACCTGTGTTCACGCAGGATTACGCCACGCCACACCAACAGGAGGAGGATTCCGGGTATAAGTGGGAGTCTGTGGTCAGGGCTAGTACCATCTCCCACCCTCCCTCCCCTATAATGGATCTAGTTCACCAAACATGAGTCAGCGGAGAACAAAAGTCAGCCTCCCTGCTCGTCAGCTCGTCAGCCACTCAGCCCTTTCTGTTCAGCTGAGGACATCACTCTGCCTTCCTGCTTGGCTGAGGACATTGCTCTGCCTTCCTGGTCGGCTGAGGACGTCGCTTGCCTTGCTGCTTGGCTGAGGTCGTCGCTCTGCCATGCTGCTTTGTTGAGGACATCACTCTGCCTCCATGTTCTGCTGAAGATGTCGTTCCTCTTCTTTGCTGTGTGGCGTATGTCACTCCACCTTCCTGCTCCACGGAGAGCATCGTTCCCCCACATGCTCCACAGAGAGCATTGTTCCTCCCTTTGGCCTCGCGGAGAACCTCGCTCCCCTCTATGGCCTCACAGAAATCTTGGAGCTTCGATTGGGCCTCGCGGAGAACATCGCTCCCCTCTCCTGTCCTGCGGAGGAAGTTGTCCCACTGTCTTGCCACACGGACTTCGCTATGAGCTCCATCCCCACTGAGGACACCGCTCTGAGCTCCAGGCCCGCTGAGGATGTCGCTCTGCTTACCTTTTCCACTGAGGACGTTGCGTTGCTTTCTTGCTCCGCTGAGGACGGAGCTCAGTGTCCTACTTCTGCTGGGGAGATTTTGCCCATGGGGCCAGGACCACCGGATGGAGGGAGTGCATTTTTGGGTGCTTTGGGAGAAGCGTCCTTGAGGGCCCTTGAGTGTTCTGTCATATATCAAGGAGGTAACTCTGGACTTCAGTTCCCATCAGCCACTGCACTGTACTACAATATGTCACATGACCACCTGCACCTGAATCACGTTTCTGTTAACAAGCACACCTATATATAGCCATTGTTTGCACTGCTTCTCTGTCTTATGTTTGTCTTAGACTACTGTTTTCCATGTTACCATGTTTTGGTCTTGTTAGTTTATGTGTAGTCTGTACCACAGTGTTTTGTATCAGCCTAAGTATCCTTTGTGTTTTGGTTGGTTTATATAATAAAACGTTGAAAATCTG